TCACAGCTCTGTCCGAGGTTACAGCTTTTAATTGACAGTTTACCATGTTTTACAACCCTGTTTCAAGGCTATCTTCCTCTTCATGAGGTTACCCAACGGTCATGCCAGTTATAGCTGATTTCTAGGCTAGGTGGGCTGCCAGTTAAAGGCCCCAACATCATATTTTTGCCTAGGGCTGGTCTCAAACTGAGATTCTCCTATCTCCTGCACATCTGGGATAACCAGTGTGTGCTGTAAGGTACAGCAAATTTTTGAGATGGTGGTCCACTAACTTTTTGCCCAGGCTATCCTTGAACCACGATCCTCTAGTTCTCTGCCTCCTGAGTAGCTAGAATTACAGGCGTGAGCTACCATGCCTGGCCTTTAGCATGCCTATTTTCTAAGGAAACAAGGATGATATTTTAAAGCAGAGTTTTATTTTCTTTGGATGCATAATTATTTACTATTTAGAAAGCCCATGAAAAATGTTAGATTTTGGTAATATATGTTTTTTATCTTGCACTGAAATTTGCTGCCTCTTGTTTTCCTGTGTATGTTCTAAATATGTGTGTGTGTATGTGATCCTAATGTGAAAGAAACTAGCTGTGTAACAGTTTTATGTTATCTTTATTATTATAACATATAAAATACAGTTGAATTTTTATTGTAGATATAAACTATGAATACTAACAATGGTCATTGATCCAAAAATCTTAGTAAAAAGTAACAAGAATTTAAAACTCAGTACCCAAATCACATCCTGTTAAAATAAAGTAAAACCTTTTATAGCTGGAACAGTTTACATGTTGCCTCTGGGTGTTTCTTAACCACTTGTTCATTAATGAGAGCTTTTGTTTTGCTCTAAGCATTCTTTGAAACTTGCCTTTCTTTTACTAAAGTATAGAAGCCATTTCATGGCAGGGATAGTCGCCTGCATGCTTGTGTCCTGATACACTCAAGTCAAATTGGGTTTTGCTTTTCTCTCCTGACACTAATAATTGGGACTGAGGCATTGCTTGAAAGACATATAAACTTAAGATCAGTACTACTTCAAAAGTCATCAGGATGAGGTGGCGTTGAGATTGTGGAAGGAGGTGCTTTAGGTAGCATGCTGTTCTCTTCTCTGGGCATTACATGAATTCCATAAACATCTATGCTTATGCAAAGACCTACACATGAATGCTTTAGTCATAATAAATGAGCCTTCAAGGAGTGAATGTTCTTTATCGAATAAATGCAATATACTCAAGTGGCAAAAAGAATGGACTATTGATATAGGCAACAACTTGGGTGGAGTACAGCAAAGTATGCTGAAAAAAAAAATCCAATCTTGAACTGGACACCAGTGACTCACGCCTGTAATCTAGTTACTCAGAGATCAGAAGGATGATAGTTTGAGGCCAGATGGGACAAAATGAAAGTGAGACCTTATCTCAAAACTATCCAATACACACACACACACACACACACACACACACACAAAGGGCTGTCAAAGTGGCTCAAGTGGTAGAGAGCCCGCCTAGCAAGTGGGAGGCCCTGAATTCAAACACCAGCAGTGCCAAAAAAAAAAAAAAATCCAATCTCAGTTAGATATTGTATAATTACATTTATGTGACATTCTTGAAATAACAGAATTTTAGAGATGGAAAACAGGTTAAGGATGGGGCTGGGAAGTGGAAGGTACGACTACCCAGGAATGCCACCGGGGAGATCTGCAAAGAGCGATTCCATATCCTGATTATTGTGGTCCTTATACAAAGCTACATGTGACAAAATTGCATTGAACTACACACACACACACACACACACACACATGCACACACAAATGAGTTCACAATAGCTGATTAGCAACGTCAGTTTTCAAGTTTTATTATTGCCCTGTAGTTATGAAAGATGTTAGCATTGAGAGAGTGAACAATGCTTGAATCTACCTGTATATTACTTTGGAACTTCCAATGAATCTATAATTATATTTTTTAAAAAATTAAAGTAGACAGAACAGGATAATGAGCCCCTAAAATGCCCATTGCGTGTTTCTACTGTTGTTAGTTTATGACCAATCTTGTTTCAATTGTACCTCTGTCTCTTATCCCACCCCCCCATTATTCTGAAGCAATTCCCAGGTGTCACAGCACCCTTTCCATAAATATCTCAGGAAAGGTATGAGCTTTTTATCATTTATTATTAGATATCTACTTCCTGGGCATTTTGCTTTTTATTCCATTAGGGTTCATTACCATCATTACTTCTTCTTTCCCTTCACAGGTTGTTTTGCCTTTTCTGGGTTCTTTCCTTTCTTGTCCTTTAGAGAGGTCTTTACTTTCTTTCGTACTTTTAGTAGTTCCTCAAATTTCCCAAGTCCTTTCCATACCATGAGTCCACGCCACCATGACTGAAGCTGAAACGAGATAAACCCAAACTCAGCATCACCTGCTGTCATGATTGCTAGGGTTTGTCCCCTCTGAGACTCATGTTGAATTTGATTCTCAATGGAACTGAGGTTTGGGGTTATGAGGGCTTACTGTCACCCTCACGAGCTGGATTCGTTCTCAGGAGTGAGACCTTGCTCTTGTGAGATGAGATTTGTCACCACAAAAGGCAATCGTTGCCAGGCGCCTGTGGCTCATGCCTGTGATACTAGCTACTCAGGAGGCAGTGATCAGGAGGATCAAGGTTTGAAGCCAGTTCAGGCAAATAGTTTGTGAGACCCTAGCACATAAAACTCATCACAAAAGGGGCTGGTGGAGTGGATCAAGGTGTAGGCCCTGAGCTCAAACCCCAGTACTTTTTTTTTTTTGGCCACCACCAAAAAAAAAAAAAGGCAATCATTAAAAAGGAGAGCCACCACTTGTGTTCAGTTCCTTTGGCACATGCTTGCTTGTCCTTTAGCCTTCTGTAATATCAGGACACTTTCACCACTGCTACCTTTGGACTTTGCAACTTTAAGAACCATGAGGTAAAGTAAACCTTTACTCTCTATGAATCACTCTGTCTCTTTCAGTTACAGCAACAGAAGCTGGACTAAGATAACAATAAGGTGGAGATTGTTAAATTGTTCTCTTCTGGTCTGTGGTCTTAAAAATATGGAGAAGAGGTGTGGCTAGAACTCCAAACTTCACCTTATCTTTCACAATCATCCAGTCATTCAAGCAAAAAAAAAGTATTTTGTGTGTGTGTGTGTCTGGCACTGTTCTAGACATTTGAAAAACAGAAGCTAAATATCAGTGTCACTGGTTGTGAAGAACTATGGAGAATGACTGCATAGTAAGGGGAATGACAGTGCATATCCCTGCCTTCTCTGTTCTTACTGGACTGCCCCCTCTTTTCCCCTGGATCCTTCCTATTCTTCCACCTACTCAGGAGCACCCCTCCTCTAGTAGTCAACATTTCTCAGAACTTTCCAGGGGCTCCCCATTTCTCCCCCCACAAAAAGCCAAAATTCGTATCATGGCTTCAAGGCCCTCTCTGATCATCCCCCTCCTTCTCACCTCTTGGATCTCAGACCTCTTAACTACTCTCCTCCTTTCTCATCCTGCTCCAGCCATGTGGGCCTCCCACATGCTCAGATACACCAGGCACAATCTTAATTCAGGGCCTTTGCACTTGTTGCTTCCTCTGCCTCAAACCCTCTTTCTAGTATTCACATGGGTTCCCCTTTCCGAGTGTTTGCTCAGCGGTCATTGCCATGGACTGAGCTGTGTTTCCCCAAACTCACATGCTGGAGCCCTACTTTTCCAAAGTGATGGCATTTGGATATATGGCTTTGGACAGATAACTAGGTTTAGATGAGGTCATGAGGGTGGGACTCTCCTGCAATGGGATTAACGCCCTCTAAGAGGCATCATAGAACTTGCGTTTACTTGTCTCCCTGTACCCCAAGAAAGGACACAGTGAGAAGACAGCTATCTGAAAGCCAGGAGGAAAGCCCTCACCTGATCCCACCAGTTCTGAAACCCTGAACTCAGCCTGCCAGACTTCAGAACTGTGAGAACATAAACTCCTGCTATCTAAGTCTCCCATTCTACAGTATTTTTATAGTGGGTCACCTTTTCAATGAGATCTACACTGACCATCTCATGTAAAACAACACTCTTCTCTGTACACATACCCACGTCTTGTGGCAATATAATTTCTCCTTAGCTTGAGCTTTTTTTTCTCAATAGCACTTATCACTCTAACATAGTATAAAATTTTGTGCTTTGTTGCTCATGTTTTTTTTTTCTCTCCCACTAGATTTTAAGCAACATGAGGACACAAACAATCTGTTTTGTTCACTGATGTAGCTCTAGTGCCTAGAACAGTGCCTGGGAATAGCAGAAACTGAATAACTATCTGTTGATTAAATGACTAAGTTGGTAGGGTGAATGCTGTCTTTTATAAGGTAGATCAAGGAAGGGCTCTCGGTAAAAGGATGTGTGAGCAGAAACTAAATGAATCTTGCCAGTATCTTGGGGGAAGTATCTCTGGGCAGAGGGAAGGCCCTGCTGCAGGGATGTGCTCAGTCCTTGGAGAACACCCAGGATCTGTTTGCACCTGAAGCCAAGTGAGAAGGGGAAGGGTGAGCTAGGACTAGAAAACATATCAGTGAGGGCAGCCATTTTTCAGGGACTAGGACTGCCCTCTAGAGGCGTTTTGGAAACTTACAAGGCCTTTTGCACTGCTAAAAAAAGTCTGGAAAATAATTTAAAATATTAATCTAATAGCTCTATTTTAAAATGTCAACATTTAAAATGCACTGGAAAGTGCATCTGCTGCAATTATTTAAACTTTAAACAACTTTAAATATCAATTTTAATATGTGCAAAGGGGTACATGATTTTTCAAAATGCTTTTAGGAAGTAATCAATAAAAAATACGACTTTCATTTCCACCATAGTCATTTTTGAGTATATACACTTTGAAATAAATATGTTTTTAAGTTTTAGAAAGGATTTATTTTAGTATAAGAGGATAAAGTAGAGAAGATGGGAAAAGTTAGAAACATTTCTTCCTCCCCACACAGGAAGTGGAAATATAGACTCCTGAAATAAATATTTTAATATAAAGTACTTTTTCCTTTATGTTGCTGCTTTGAAATTGTTTTTGACTTATTAAAATTAATTGACAGGTTACATTAGCTATGATTTTAATTTTAGAAGATCAAAGGAGTATGAAATGTTTATTATGAAAGGGAGGGTGTTAGGTCTGATAGGGTTGAAAGCCATTAATAAAGCATCTTGTAGCTCAGAAACTTTGACTTTTCCAGGTGAATGGAGAATTGTGAGTTTCAGCAGCCAGAGGCATGATCCAACCTGTGTTTTAACAGCCTGCGTGTGACTATGGAGTGGAAGTCATATTGTAGGGGGGCGGGGGTAGGCATGGGAGCAGGAGTGTTGGGGGACTGGTTAGGAGACTAATGCAGTCACATGAGTGTGAGATGATGGGAACTAGGACCAGCTAAAGAATAAAGAATACTGACTGAAGTGGATACATTCCTGGCCTGCCCGGACACCCTGTGTTCCCCTGGAATCAACGCACAAGATCAGGTTTACAATGATCTTAGCTCTTTGGTCCACTGGATCCATTGGATATGGTATACCACTGAACACTCTCTCTAGGCTCTGATCCATAAATGCTCTTGCTTCTAATTTTCCAACCTTATCTGACTGCCTCTGCTAATACCAGCTTTTTTTTTCCAGTTTAATAAAAAAGTCCAAGAGTTTTTAGATGGTCTTGGGATGTCAAGGGTTTTGGTTTCTTTTGCTTTGTTGGCCTCTTATTTGACAGAGAAAGGCACATAAAGGACAATGCTAGGGCCAAAATTTAAGACTTCTCTCACTTAGCTGTGGGGACATAAAAGTAAATGAGAGTTTCCTCTCGAGAAGGACAAGATGTAGCTGTGTAAAGACCAGCTGAGCACTAAAGCCCCTCCAAAGGAACTGTGAGTGTATCAAGAACTGGTGCTAACTTTACCTTCACTGCCATTCTTTTCATGGCTTTCTTTTCCTTAAGGTACTCCCATATGGCCTCATTGCCTTCAGCGCACACTTTCATTGGGGGATCTTCCATGGGGTTGCCAGTCAGTGTCAGAACTTTAAGCTTCACCAAGCAATCCAAATCCTCTGGGATTTTCTTGAGCAAGTTGTCCTCCAGTAGCAACTCTTTCAGACCTGGAAAGGTTTTTGTTTTAAATGGTGGATTTATCTTGAAAACAAGTCACAGTAACTTGGCACCTAACCTGCGCAGGTGTGTGAGGGTTCCACCTCTGCATTGCAGAATGAGAGGGAGGATGTATAAAAACTCACAAAGCTTTTTATACCATCTAATCAAAGGTCTGTCTCTATGTCTGTTGTTCTCACAATAAAGAGAAGAGGAATTCAATATTCAAATATTGCTATCCCTCTAAGAATGGATGTCTTTTGGGGGTACTTTTGCTTGTGTGCTTGCTTTGTTGTTGTTAGTTTATAGCAGCAGTTGCCAAATGGAAAGAAAACACTGTTAAGCCTGTTCCTTAGGTCAGCAGACTTCACTACTTCCTGTTATTTCTCCAGCCTTGTGCACATCCCTGTGACCTGCCTGGACAGTGGAATATGTGGTACCTGGCTCACTAGTCATTTTTCTAGTATTCTCAAGTTAATGAGCAAATTAATTTTTTTTTAAAAAAAGTTATTCTCTGGCATTAAAATAAAATACATAACCTGGTATAAACAGAAATGTATGCATACCAAAATGGCTAAGAAGAGATAAAACTAATGCTCCTTTCCCTCCACCTTCTCACATCTTAGTTGTCGCAAGGAACCACTGTTACTGATTTCTGTGAGTCCTTGTGCAAAATACCTTGGCACCTGCAGGCCTGCAGATTTGTGGGCATAAAACTTTACAAATCAAATGGCATCACTTTATAGAGAATGGCCTGGATCTATATTTCTAACATAAGGAGCTATCTTAAATAGCTTGCTGAAAGAGACATAAAAATGGCTGAGGTTGGGGGGGCTGGTGGAGGGACTCAAGGTGTAGGCCCTGAGTTCAAGCCCCAGTACTGCAAAAACACAAAAACAAAGAAATATGGCTGGGGAAGGAAGAGGAGGAGAAGGGGAGGGAGAGGAGGGAGAAGGAGAAGGAAATGTTTGGGCATGTGGATGGAAATCATATGTGATTTTCCAAGTCAATCATGTAGCTCCAAAGTCCCCCTTGCTGATTTCATCACTCTGAGTCAATACTTTTCCTTTTATTCAAGTGACTTAGTGACCTAGATGAAAAATTTACTTAGGACCTCAACTCCAAATTCTAGCCCACAGTATGGATTCAGAAAACTATTGCTGGTGGTGGATGTAATGAAAGTGTAGATTTTCTTGGAAATTGCTAGTTTCTCTTTTTTTGGTGGGGGAAGGACTGGGGTTGGACCTCAGGGCTTCACATTTTCATAGCAGGTGCTCTACTGCTTGAGCCACACCTCCAGTCCATTTTGCTCTGGTTATTTTGGAGATGCGGGGGAGGTTCTCTTGAACTATTTGCCCAGGCTGACCACAAACTGCAATCTTCCTAATCTCAGCCTCCCAAGTAGTTTAGGATTATAGATATTAGTCACAGGCACCCAACATTCAAATTACAACTTACTATGCAAAACTCTTAGCCATACTATCTAGGGCACCTGGCCTCCCTGCAAGGAGGTCAGAGCTCAACTCTCCAAACACTGAGGCTGGTCTTTAGCAAGGCAAGAAAGCCATCCACCATGGGAAATGCTGGCCTCAACCTCTATGAGGCTGTCATCTACTGCTTCCTCACCTTGTGCTTGGCAAATGGTATCTGGCAGTTGCTTAAGCAAATTGTGTCTGCAATCAAGAACTTCCAGATTAGGCATTGACCCCAAAGATTCAGGTAGGTACTCCAGATGATTGTTTTCTATGTACAGCTCTTTCAGATTCTGAAATAACACGAGAGTACCACAATGATGTTGAGAGATGAAGCATAATAACCAAAAGCATCTGTAAGTGTCCATGTACTTTCAATGGGAAAATCAATTAGGCATTGGAATACAGGGAAAAGCACAGTTAAAGAACCAACATCAAGAAGTAAAATTGCTTTTTTTTTTTTAGTAAAGCCATTAAACTGAGTTTCCCTTTACATAAGGAGAGGAGAATGTGGGAGCTTTGTTTTGCTAGAACTTTATGAAGAAACAAGGTGGATCATTTGACTGCATTTATCATTTGCTCCCTTTCAATACTAGTTCTCTTTGGCTACAGAATTACAATTGCTTCCACTGCCAGCCCAACATGGTCTAAGTGGAGGTTGCCTAATGCACAACAGGTTTGAATGCTATTCACTTGAATGATTTTCAACTTTACTGGGCAAAAAAATTAATGTTTGTATTTTGTGTTATGATTTTGGTATGTCATTGCAAAGGGCAAGGTGACAAAAGGTTCTAGGAACATAGGGCAAGGATGACACAATAGGAATAAGACTTCTATGTCACAGTTAGAATTACCTGTGCTGTATCCATCATTGCTCTGTCCCATGACTGGGGGTTATGTGGCACCCCACATCTATTTTATCATTAATGGGAACATGAGAAAAAACAACAGATCTTTAAAGAAAAAGAATGCATATATCAGGGCATGCTAGTGTGGGTACTGGTGGCTCACACCTGTAATCCTAGCTACTCAGGAGGCAGAGATCAGGAGGATCATGGTTCAAGGCCAGCCTGGGCAAAATGAAAGTGAGACTCTATCTCAAATATACCCAACACAAAAAAGGGCTGGCAGAGTGGATCAAGTGGTAGAGTGCCTGCCTAGCAAGCATGAGTCCCTGAGTTCAAACCCCAAAACCACAGGAAAAAAAAAAGACATGCTAGTAAAGCTATTTTGAATGATGTTATCTTGCTGCTTTGCTAGAATTCAGCACAGAACTATGCACCCGTCATCAGCATGAACCTGGTGCAACATGGTTTGCCTGTCTCCATAGAAGAAGAGAGGTTCCACTGTCTTTTACTGGGAATCCTGGGCACCAGGATTAACTTCAAAACAGTACAGTTTTCAGGGGCTAGTGATCAAAAATGGAAAAAGGTATGACTCAATTTCCACAAATGAAACATGCCAGAACACACAGTGGGAAGACATATGGCAGGATATATGCAACAGCAATCATGACAATGTGGGCGTTCTTCAGTGACCGTGAAAGACTCAAAATGTAAAAATGAAAATCTAGTATGCTTGCCTGGGGGAGGCAGCTCGTGTGCTCTGAATATTGGTCAACTTAAGGAGTCAGTGGCCTATGCTTCTCCACTGCAAATCGGGGAGGCTTACCTGCAGTTTCCCAATGTTTTCCGGCACACAGGTAAGCTTGGATCCCTGGTCTTGCCCAATGTATAATTTCTCTAGAGACTCTAAAGCAAAAACTTCCTCTGGGAAGGAAGCAAACTCATTTCCTGTTAATCCAAGTATCTTCAGTTTTGAAAGTGCGCTCAGTTCTGAAGGTAACTAGAAATGTTCCAAAAAAGATAGTTTCAGTTTCAGATCCAGATTGTTTTTAACAGTTAGAAAAGAAATTGAGCTTTTTTTTTTTTTTTCTTCCCAGTGCTGGGGTTTGAACTCAGGTCCTTCACCTTAAGCTTCTCTACCAGCCTTTTTTGTGATGGGTTTTTTCAAGATAAGGTCTCATGAGCTATTTGCCTGAGCTGGCTTTGAACCATGATCCTCCTGATCTGTGCTTTCTGAGTAGCTAGGATTACAGATGTGAGCCACTGGCACCTGGGTGGGGTTTTGGTTTTGAGGCAGCTCACTAAACAAAAATAGAGCAACTTCACATGTCTGACTTTTGCACGCATACTATATATACTTGTAGAGTTCTACTTTTTTCCCACCACCTTTCTGCTTTTCACTTTTGTGCACTGTTTTAAATTGAACCAATTTTATCCTACTTAACTGCAAATTTATTAATTGTAGTATGGCAGAGGCTTGACACCATTGGAAAAAAGTACTAACATATGTGTACTATTACAATGCCAATATTCAGAGTAAAGTCACTGATAGATTTAGTGACAGGGCCCACTTTCACACTAGAAGGCTTTAACAATTTCAAAACTGCAAATTGAAATCTCAGTTGGAGGCAAATGTGTTCAGCCATTTGTAACAAGAGCATTCAGTGAGGTTTTCCTCCATCCCATCTTTCTTCCAGTAAATACCAAGGTCACGTGCCCTACATGGGAATTAGGTAGGTATTTCACAGACTGTCAGCCATTAAGAGTTTAGAAAGTCTTAAGAAGGTCTGCTATTCCAACCTTCTACCACAGTGGCTGTAGCTAGCCATCAAGCCCTTTTTTCATTTACCACCTCCTGGAAAGAAAAGCTCATTACTGTCAATGGATACCTCTAATCTTCACATTTCCTTCTTTTCTCAAGCCACAATCTACACCTCTATCATGTTCACCTACTGGTTTCTTTCCGGCCCTCTGGAACTACATAGGTTTTTTTTTGGCGGTACTGGGGTTTGAACTCATGCTTGCTAGGCAGGCACTCTACTACTTGAGCCACTCTGCCAGCCCTGAGATAATCTTATTCTTAAAATATATGACATTGACAGGTGCCAGTGGCTCACCTGTAATCCTAGCTACTCTGGAGGCAGAAATCAGAAGAATCATGTTTTGAAGCCAGCCCAAGGAAATAGTTCAAGGGAACCTATCTTGAAAATACCCAACGCAGAAAAGGGCTGGAGGTGTGTGGCTTAAGTGGTAGAGCACCTGTCTAGTAAGCGTGAAGCCCTGAATTCAAACCTCGGTGTCACCAAAAAAAAAAAATCTATATATCTGTATATACACATATACATACACATATATACATGACATCATCATATATATCATTGATTTGGGGATGCTTTATTTTCTTGTAGAACGAAGTAAAGCCATACAACTCAATGACTTCTTAATTCATACATTCTTTTATGTGGTTTTATTCCTAACTGAAAAATGCAGAGTTCCCTGCATGTGCCCTTGGGCCTTCCTCCCACCCAGTCCAGTATCTGCCACCCTACTTTCCATTCTGGTTAGACCAGGCTCAGCTTGGCACTCCTCCCCCATCCCCTTGTATGGCAGAGCATTGGTGAATGGGCCATTCACAGTCAGAGCAAAAAGGAAGCCTACCTTATGAATAACCTATGTAAAAGTTTTGCACAACTGGAATCTTCCAGAAGACATTTTTCTCTGTTTTTGTATATCATGAGGGCTCATTTTTCTTAAAATGCTATAAAATATTTTCAGTTTTATTAATCCATTTATTTTTTGTTTTAAATCAGACCAAGTTGATGTCCACAGCAACTGACGTTTAAGCTTTTCTCCTTGACTATTTCAAATTTCAAAATTCTTCACCAGGCAGTTCCCATCAGTCAATACAAAGCACCTCCATTCAGTGCAGTCCAAAACAATGGGTAAAGACTTTTCAGTTGAATCACTTCATTATAACCCACTAATTTCACTCTTGTTTACTTGACTTACAGGTTTAGCTTTTCTTTTTCAAAGCACATTAAATGTTCAAATTTTTTCAGGATGTTTGAGATCAACTATTTAGTTTCCTCTTAGTCATACTAAAGTGTAATGGAAGCTAATCCTAGCACTTGGGAGGCTGAGCCAGGAGAATCACGACTTTGAGGGCAGCCTGGGCTACACCCAAGCAAGCAAAAAAGTACAATGGGAATAAATCTGGGAACACAGAGCATGTGCAGAGCATTAATTGAGGGCAATTACTGCTGACACTATAATTGAACATTCTGAGGCTGAACACATTGTTTTGGCTTTCTTCTTCAATAGTACTAAAAAGTACAGTCCATCTCAGTCCAAATCAAAAGTAAGCCATTTTTGCAGCTTCCTAGGCAAGGAGAAGCTTCTGGCCAGGCTTTAGGAACAAGAAACCCATCTGCTGAGGCTTTAGGGTGGAGCGATAGGAGCTGCCTTACAGGCCATGTTCCAGTAAGGAGGTAAATTGGCTGGAGGTTTATAGGAGGTATTAGCATAACAGAAATTGAGAAGAGAAAAGAAAAGCACAAAAATGCAATCAGAATAACTAGTGACTCAGGAGGCAGAGATCAGGAGGATTGAGATTCGATGCCAACCTGGGCAAATTGACAAACTGTATCTTGAAAAAAACCCATCACAAAAAAGGGCTGGTGGAGTGGCTCAAAGTGAAGGCTCTGAGTTCAAACCCTAATACCGAAAACAAAAAAGAAAAAGATAAAAAATATAAGGCCCAGGACTTTTAAAATGCATGGTGAGCACCCAAGACTGGTGTCCATGGCCAGTTGTTCATTTCCAGATCTCCCTTTCTCTCCCTCTAGAGTTTGAACAGCAAACTTTGTTCTTTTCAATTTTCAAATATTAAAAACTAAAGAAGCTGGGTGTGGTGGTGCACATATGTAATCCTAGCACTCAGGAGCCTGAGGCAGGAAGATTGAGAGTTTGATGCCAGCCTGGGCTGCACAGTAAGGTCCTGTCTCAAAAACAAAACAAAACAAAACAAAACAAAAAAAAACAAAGAAAGGAAAGAAGGAAGGAAGGAAGGAAGGGAAGGAAGGCTTACTGCACAAATCTTTTAATAAATAAAATACTACAATTAAAGTTGGGTGCCAGTTGCTCACACCTGTAATCCTAGCTATTTAGGAGGCTGAGATTGGGAGGATCACATTTCAAGGCCAGCCCTGGGGAAATATTTTGAGGATCCCCATCCCCAAAATAGCCAAAGCAATATGGACTAGAGGTGTGGCTCAAGTGGTGGAACACCTGCTTAACAAGCACAAAGCCTGAGTTCAAACCTCAGTCCAATCAAAATAATAAAAGATTTAAAAGTTGAGTTCCTCTTGATCTCTTCCTTGTTTACTGACTTTCTTCTTGTCTCTCCTAGAGGGAGCAACTATCAGTAATTTAGTGAGTTTTCTTCTAAGCCATATTTGCTTTTAAAAATCTATTTATTTTTATTGTTGTGCTGGGTGGCGGTACATTGTAGCATTTACAAAAATTCTTATAACTTATCAAATATATCATACTTGAATTCACTCCCTCCACTACTCTCCTTTAGCACCTCTTCCCCCATTCCTGAAATGATTTCAAAAGGTATCATTCTTGCATTTACATACATGTGTACACATTTTTTATAATCTATTCACCCTCCTACCCCTGATCCCCACCTCTCCCCGATCCCTGGTACCAACCCCACCATGAGCAGGACCTGTTCTGCCCTCCTGTTCTCTGTGTAGAAGAAAAAAGAAAAAAAATAACATTCTTGTTTGTTGAGATAAAGGTAGCTAAATAGGGAGTTTCCTTGTGATATTTCCATGTATGTATGTACTTTTATTACACATGACTATCCATTAAATGTGTGGTATATATTTCTATGTGTAGTTTTGTATGATTTAAACATGAGTAAGTGAGGGCTGGAATGTAGCTTAGTGGTAGAATGCTTTGCTACCATGCATGAGGCCCTGGGTTCGATCCCCAGCACCAAAAAAACCCCAAGGTATAAAAAAAAAGACTAAGTGGTTTGATAAGGTTTTGCAATTTGCTGTTTTTCTTTTGAGCAAACATTGTGATTTTGAGATCTATCCACAATGGCGCAAATGGCTCCAGTTCACTTCAGTTGCGCACAGTATTCTATTTTATGAGCACACTACAGTTATTTCTGTCTGCGAGACTCCATCTCAGCGGAAAAAAGCTGGGTGTGGTGGTCAGCACAGCGAGAGCAGGAAGCTTAGACTAATAGGATCTTTATCCAGACTGGCCTGGGCAAAAAGCAAGACCCTACCTTCAAAATAACCAGAGCAAAAAGGGCTGCAGGTATGGCTCAAGTGGTGGAGCATGCACGAGGCCTTGAATTTAAACCCACTACTGCCCAAAATAAAAAACCTTGCTGTTTGTAGAAACCTTGTGAGGAATGGTATTTGTTAAGAATATAGATCCGGAGCTCAGCAGCTCTCGGTTGCAATCCTGGCTGGACTGCCATCCACTTTCCTCCTACCTCACTGAAGACAAAAGTCCCTGTGAGGACTACATGAGATGACCTCCACAAAACACTGAGCTCAGTGACTGGCACATACGTGTTGTAAATAACCATCAGCTACTAGTTATGATTACTATTGCTATTTAGGAGAATGTATCCATTTGATAACCCTGAATTTTCATCCATAAACTCGGCTCACATTTGCTATGTCCACACACAGCCACACCGAGAGGAGCCCTTGAGAAGGGCTTGACAGCCAGAAAGGGAATCGGTACCTGCCCTATTTTATTGTCATCCAGCGCCAGGATTTCCAGGTTCTTGAGCGTGCAGAGAAGTGGGGGCACTTGGTCCAGGTGGTTCTGGCTGAGGTCCAGGTAGCGCAGGTTGACCAGCCGCTTGAGCGATCGGCGCAGCGCGTGCAGGCGGGTGTCGCGCAGGTAGAGCAGGTGCAGCGAGGTCCACTTGCAGACCGGGCGCGGCACCTTCTCCAGGCGGTTCCCGCTCAGCCCCACCTCCGTCATCTCCGTGAGCGCCTCCAGCGTGCGCGGGATGGAGTGCAGGAGGTTGTGCGACAAATCCAGCACTGACAACTTGCTACACTGGCTCAGCAACTCGGGCAGAAAGGACAAGCAGTTATACGCCACGTAGAACTTCTGCAGCCTCGTCAGATTCCCGATTTCTTCTGGGATGACTTTGACTTTGTTCTCGTCCAAGTCAATGATCTCCAGGTTGTAGAGAACGCAGAGCTCCTGCGGGAAGACTTGGAATTCGTTTTGCTTCAAGTAGATCTCCCTCAGTTTGGTCTGGTTCACTATTTCCCTGGGCAGAGATTGCAGGTGGTTTTTGGTCAGTCCGAGCAGCTGGAGGTGGTGAAGGGTTTTGCACATCACAGCGGGAATGTCCTTCAGGCCAGTGTCGTAGAGCCGCAGCTCGCGCAGAGTGCGGAGGCAGCTGATGACCGGCAGAGAGGAGGTCACCAGGGGGTTGGAGCTCAGGTCCAGGCCCTCCAAGTTGCTTAGGGTCCCCAGCTCCGGGCACAGGCGACGCAGGTTGTTCTTATTCAGGTAGAGGATCTTGACATTCTTTAAATGCTGAATATCCGGAGGAATTTCTTCAATCTGGTTGTTTTCTAAATGGATTTCTTCTAATTCTTTCAATGCCAAGATCTCGGACGGAATGGCAGTCAGGCTCTGACTAGAGGCATCAATGAAAAATGTTCTATCAGTGGCCTGATGGGGGTCATTTCTGTGATGAGCGTTAGGTGAATGTTCTTCTGGTTTTAACATCTCCTTTGACGTTATTTTGAAGGAAAGTTGAAAATTTCAAAAGCTGAAATACTGTAGGAAAAAAAAAGGCGGGGGGGGGGGAGGGAATCAGAATTCCCTTGCCTCTGAATTTATTATCCTTAAAAAAGAAAACATTAGCCATGCGCCGGTGGCTACACCTCTAAGCCTGACTCCTCCAGAGGCAGAGATCTGGAAGATACGGTTCAGAGCCAGCCCTGGCAAATAGTTTGCCAGACCCTATCTCGAAAATACCCATCACAAAAAAAGGGCTTGTGGAGTGGCTCAAGGTGAAGGCCCTGAGTTCAAGTCCTAGTACACAACACACACACAAAAAGAAAACATTAAAATCCAATTGACTAAAGTGTTGAAATTATACTGCGACATAAAATTTAGGATTTTGCTTTTCATGTTAGAATAAGATTTAAAGTGTAGGCTCCTCTTTCTCCTAATGTGATATATACACATATACACACACTCAAGCACACACATGTTCTCTAATTATTTTTTTAAATGATTGTTTTGATTTTATTACCAGCAAGGATGCAAAAGATCATTGTTCATAACCATAACCCTCAGAAAACACTAGGAAAAGGGCTGACAGAATGGCTCAAGTGCTAGCATGCCTGCTTAGTGAATGTAGGGCCCTGAGTTCAAACCCCACTGCCACAAATGAACCACTAGGAAAAAAATATTTTAAGATGAATGTCTCTTTAAAGCCACCAGAGAGTTGCAGATACAAAGAAGGCTAAGAGAATGGACTGGTAAAGGTGGACCAGCCCTTTCTATTTAAGTACTCCAGTGTGTGGGTCCCTTCATGCCTAGTGGCATTTTCAAGTTTGGCAGAAAGAGAAGCAAGCCTCCCATAGGTATAGGCAAAGGAACTTCTGAGACAAGGCAAACCAACCAAGGAAAGCAAACTTTCAACAGCCACTTGTGAGTTGGCCTGGGATTTGAATCTGGAGTCATCTCAAATGTAAGGTCAGTGCTTCCCACTAGTCAGCTCATCAGACTTCAGTTAAGTGGCCTGAGGGAAAACTACAGGCTGGACTAAAAAGCAAAGAGGTCTTGTCTTGTGATTTTAGATCTCTAAAGCCTGGTTGGAGAAGGGGCTAGGCAAGAGATTTTTAAAATTGCAGTTGGGGGTAGGGATGTAGCTCAGTGGTACAGTGCTTGCCTAATCCTAAGTCCTAGGATCCATGGCTAGCACTGCAAAATAAATAAAAATAAATTTGAAGTGACCTGAAATGAACTAATGCTGCAATCCAGAAAGTGGAAACCTAAGTAAATGGAGATATACATCATGTCCATCGATTAGAATACTCAGTGATGTTAAGATGTCAATCAACTCCCCCAACTTGATCTGTAATTTCAATGTAACTCCTATCCAAATCTCAGCAAAGTTTTCTTTTTTTGGTAGAAGTTGACAAGCTTTTTTATATGAAATTGCAAAGGAACTAAAGATGATCTTGAAAAAAATCAGTAGACTTACAGTGCAAAACTTATAGATCTTATAAATTCAAGATGTTAGTATTTTATTACAGAAGACTAAAGCCTTTAATATACACACACGTGAAGTCCAAGGAGGAGGGCAGAGAAGACCATAACATGACGGTGGCCGAGTGGACTGCAGCATCTTTGACCTCTCTAGACCAGGGGCTTTCTTACATCACAGACACCCAGTCCCTACATGAAGGGAATGCATTTCTATCACCACATGAACTTCGCCACTCCTCAAAATTCAACGGTATGTGATTCAGGTCCTTGTTACTCTATTCCAACCTCAAAAAAGAACTCTGAGGGACTGGGAGTGAGTCCTTGAAATCAAACCCCAGTACTACCAAATTAAAAAGACAAAACAAAACAAAACAAAAACCCTGAGACAGTGTTGCTTTCAGTTATTTAAAGAAAGGAAAAGATTTAGCATCGATGAAATTATAGCTCCAACATTTTTGTCTTTAGTCACCAGATAGGTTAATTTAGTACTGTTCAGTCCTATTGGATAAAATCTCCAGTGTCTAAGCACAAATTTCTGAAAATGCTGACGAATGCATAGAACACTTATTATATTAATTAATTTAATCCTTGCAACAATCCTATGAAGGAGGCACCATTCTTATTCCTTCTTGCAGATAAATGAAATAACTAAAAAAGTCTTGCTCAGAACATGGCAGGAAGTTAAGAGTAGAAGCAGGAATTTAACTAACCTTACCTAGAGTTTTAATGCCATCCGTTTGAAAGAAGCCTGACCTTTGTTAAAATCGTTTTCTTTGGGTTTGACTAATATAAGGGCTAGACAGAGTTGGGAAACCTGATGGCTGAGCTTCTAGGCTTGGGTGTTGATAAGGAATCATATCCTAGACTGCTGAATTTAACAGAACGGCTTGCGACATATAATAGGGTCTTACTGACCCACAGCCCATGGAGCCCATAGGAAAATAATAGCCCCATTCTGACCATCCATGGCCTGACTTGTGGGAGGAGTTGGTGACACATAACCTGGTTTTCCAGGACTGACCACCCTCATGTCTACAGACCCCAATAAAAGCTGAGGTTTTGGGACTGCACTGTGGAGAACAGCCCTCCTTCGTGAGCACACCCACCATCTTGTCTGAAGGGTAAAATTTTGCTTTGCATTAATAAACCTACTCCTGCTTAAGTCTCCTCTGTGTCCATCCAGGAAACTCAAGGGGACCCCTACTCAGAAGCAAGTGACTTTATTCTCCTCTGATTCTGGTAAGCCTACTTGATTCTTTATCGATTTAGGGGGATTGCCTGTTTAATTTTGCTCTCTTATTCTGGGCTATTATCTAACAAAACTTGAACAACTGTGGGCATTTACTCTTCCTTTCTCCAAAGTCTAGAAAGACCAAATAATTACTCATGAATTTGCCTTTTGTATCCTAAACTGCAACTACAGGGTTAGCTCACAAAGATTTGGGGCTCCTGTGTATTTTCCTTCCTTTCTGCCTTCTTTTTGCTGGTACTAAAATAAGTTTTGCTATCCAAGGTCTTTCCAGTCCTAGCTGGAATACAACATCCTATAACTCTTAGACTCATGTAAGGCCAAATGGGGGAAAATGTAGAAAGGCACCCTTTTAAACATCCAAGTGGCAGCAAAGTTTGCATAATATCTACAGCAACGTGTGGACAAGTGATCTTTGTTTCATTTTGCCATATAGACTGGGTTTAAAAAGGAAAAAACAAGGTGTAAAAAGGAACTAGTATTTAGGAGATGATATATAAACAAGTTATGAGGAAGGAGAGCATTTTTGGATAAGAAAGGATTTTGAATTTAAATAAGGTTTTGTCTTAAAAGCAAAGCATCGTTCCAAAATGGAAACAGGCAGGTAAGGGCAATACCAGAAGATTAAAAGCACATGGCAGAAGGATTTGTTAGGGTTTATGCTGAGATACAATTAATGAAATATGGTAGGGCATGAGGAGACATAAGAAAGTTATAAATAAGAGGACGTTCTCTGGATAAAAAGGCTTTTATATGGTAAAATAAGGTTTGATTTGAAAGCAAAAGATTGTTCCAAAATAGAAACAGATAGAAAATCAGGAGAGTAAAATCATATTGCAGAAGGACTGTAGTAAGGTTTGTGATGAAATATAATTGACAAAAGAAATTCAATGTTGTCATGACAAATTTATAAAAGGCTCTGTAAAAACTTCCCTTTAGGCCCAAATAAAGCTGGGGTACAAAAAACTGTACTGATTTCCTGAATTGTTCTGCTCTATAAAAATATATCCCTACTATTCTTAATAAACTTTGCTGTTACTTTTACTACTATTTATATCTTGCTTGAAGACTTCTCTCTTGGGAACACAAGGACAGAGGACCTCAACCAAAATTTCCAGTAACAAAGGACTGAAGGAGTGGCTCAAGTGGTAGAACACCTGCCTAGCAAGTGTGATGCCTTGAGTTCAAACCCTGGTCCCACCCAAACTCCCAGTAACATGAGGCTTTTCTTTTGCAAACTCCCAACAGTCACTTGGGGGGAATAACGTGAACTAGCCACTGTGATTAGGGTTCCCATGAAAGTGTCTGGACTGCCAGACATATGGAAGAACTTATTTCTTCTAACATTCATCTTCTCCATAGTCAGAGCAGCCTAAGATATCTGATTGTGAGTGCACATCTGTTATCTTATTATGCCCTAACCATGTATTCCACATATGTCTGGAAACACACACACACACACACACACACAGACACACACACACACACACACATACACACACACACAGTCCTCATTTTACAATGGTTTAGTTTATAATTTCTCAATTTTATGGTGGTGCAAAAATGATACACATTCAGTAGGAACTGTACTTTGAATTTTGATCTCCCTTGGCTAGTGATGTGTCCCAATGCTGGCAGCAAGACACAGTGGCCTGTCAACCATGTGCTCATGAGGGCAAACCACCAATGCTCTGCAGTGTCCATGGCTTAGGTGTGTTAAATGCATTTTTGACTTAGGATATTTCCAATTTATGATGGGTTTACAGGGGTGTAACCTTATTGTAAATTGAGGAGCATCTGTGTATCTATTCTCAGATTTAATTAAGAGGAGATTGAAAACCTAGGATTTGCAATAGCTTTCTAATTCAGCCACAGTAAAGAAGAACAGGAAGACTGATTCTGTATTGACTATTTTTTCCCAAGGGATCACTACCTGAACATAGTCAAATTAACTTAGCATTACAATCCACTGGTACTGTGAGGTTGTTCCTGAATGGAATAATTGTTTCACTTTCATTTCAAGGAGCCAAGATTTGGGTAATTTATAATTAGCCCTTCTCTGAATAACTCTAATGCCTGAGAAAAGCAATGAGGAAACTGATGAATCCCGTCAAATTTACAGTGGCTGTTTGTACTTTTCTTTCCAAGACTGGTTATGTAAAACCTGGATAGGCAGGACCAGAGTCCTGCGGTTAATATGATGTGTGACTCTGACAGCACAACCATTTCTAGTTAAAATAGTTTCCAATTTTTGCTTAAAATTTCACTCAGCTCT